TTAGTAACCATTAACAGGTGATCAGGAATTTCTGGGCCACCCAGCTAGTGTTTCAGTAGCAGACTTCTCCTAGGGATGGACAAAGAGATGGAGAGGTCTTGACTTGGGCCCAAGGGTCAGCGACCCCACCCTTCTTAGAGCCCCTTCCTGCCAGGGGACCATTTCAGAGCTCATCTTACAGAGTGGCCTGTAATCTTGCAGGTTTTAAAATGGAGCCACAAATCGGGGTTCATAGATTAGAGAACAATTGGTGATTAGAGATGTCTGGGCCATCTAGCAACCGTGTTTGGGTAGGAAACTGCCACCAGAGATCTATATAGCCTGCACTCAGGCAAGCCAAGGTCTCCTGGCAAGAGCTAAGGAAATGTGAAAAAGACCCAGGGGTAGGTGTCCACACCACACCACAAGAGCAGTTTTATTATTTTAAAAAAATGCAGAATGCAAGAAATTGTCCTCTGCTAGTAGAGAGCTCAGATTGCAGGAGCTGCTGAAGTAACTGGTCTACATTCATCATTTGCAGACAGCCTGCATCCAGGCAGGCCTGGAGACCGAGTCACATGCAGACTTGGACAGCAAGGATGGGTCCGAAAACAACCATAGAAGTGGCTGTGGAGAGAGTGGGCTCAGATGCAGGCAAACTGGGAATTTAAAGAAGCAACAGGCTCTCAAGCAGTGAAGAGCCACAAGGTCAGAACCTACCCTCCCTGGGTAGAACAAGACCTCATGCTCAAAGAGCACCACAGAAATTCACCAAACCCAAGGCCGGCAGAGTGCTGAGCATTTAGAGCTATCAGGTAACTTTGGGGGCTTGCTGCCAGGAGGGCTGTGAGCTGCAAGCACGGGACATGTATGCACACACACACACATACATACACACCCCTGCTTCCCCCAGGATAATGAACTACAGTATCTGCATGTGTAAGATGTCTAATAATCAAGAGACCAAACATAAAAATCATGGGTATAGAAGAAGGAGAGATAGAGCAAGCTAAAAGGATAGAAAATATAAAATGATCATATGGAGCCAGGCATCGGTGGCTCCCACCTGTAATCCTAGCTACTCAGGAGGCTGAGATCTGAGGATCACAGTTAAAAGCCAGCCCCGGGAGGAAAGTCCGTGAAGTTCTTATCTCCAATAAACCACCAGAAAACCGGAAGTGGCGCTGTGGCTCAAGTGGTAGAGAGCTTGCCTTGAGCTGAAGAGCTGAGGGACAGCAACCAGAGTTCAGTCCCTACAATGACGCGCACACACACACACACACACACACACACACACACACACACACACACACACACACACTCACACACAAAAGAACACAAAATACTTCATAGTTAAAACATTAAATTTGCAGAACAAGGAAATAACACTGAAAATGTCAAGGGACCAGGATCTTCAGTGGAAAACACATTAGAATAACAACAGATTTCTCAGCAAGGAGGGCATAGAATGATATATTTTAAGCACTGAAAGTAAACAACTGCTAATCTAAAGTACTGAGAAAAAATTATCATTCATAACTAAAGGATATAAGACCAAGCAAACCAATTTATGTCCACTAAACCAGCACTGTAGAAGATATTCATAAGGACTCTTACACACAGAAGGGAAAGGTACATGTAATCATGCAAATAGACGAAAAAACAGTAAATCTCATCAGAGAAGCAGATACATGAATGAAGAGCAGGAAAGAACCAAATCCAACACAATGGCAGGAATTACTGCAAACCTTTCAACACCAGCACTGAATATTAATGGGTCTCAATTCTCCAGTCAAAGGAGATAGAATGGTAAACTCATTAATTAATCAGAACAGTATCAGCTTATACCCTTGAGACTACCAAAACTTGAAAGTGTTGGCAGAGGTCTGAGATGAGAGTGCAGATAGGGTGAAAGGGTAATGCAATGGTGCTGAGGAAACCAAGCCCTAACACCCACCAATTCCTTCCCTGGATGTACATCGAAGGGTATTCTCACAAGTCCATAAGCATCACCGAGAACCCATTCATTGTAGTGTTGCCGCAGCGACTGAAGGAGTTGAAGGCATGCTATTGCTAACAGATCCCAGTCCAGGCTGGGCCCAGATGGTTCTTGACAGATGGGCCAAGATCAGGTTGAATCAGGAGTAGGTTTATTAAGGTGAAGCCAAGTGGGAGCACACCCCAGAGCAACGCTTGAGCAGTTTATGCACAAGCACTCAAGGCCTCAGGTTTCTACTGGGGATTTTGGACATGGAGGTATTTATTCCTGGAAAATGAGTTATTTACATGCCATTAACTCTTGGGAGACTGGAGTCATTGGTATTAACTCACCCAAGTATCTGTCGGGGAAGTTTGGGCCTTGATGGTTAAATCAGGACTGACGGTTTCCATGTGCGGTGGGGGTGGTGTGTCACCAAGATTCTGTTGGGTAACATGGGACATTCTGTTATTACCAGTAAGCTGGGATTGAAAAACAAAATCAATATCCAAGCCATATTTTTGCATCCCTCATGCTTCCTAACTTCCTGAATAATCTTTGTCTCCCTCCTAGTTGCTGTACACAGGACAATCGTGCTGGGTGCTCACTATGTAACATGCTATGGCTGCTACAAACAATAGATTCGACTTGAGCTGTGCAGAGAGCTCCATAGAAGGGTCTTGACGCTGGAGAGCCAAGAAAATGCAAAGCCCAGAGAGAGAGGTATGTTGTATGCTCCCATTTTTACCAATTAACAAAACCTGCACACCAGGAAAACATGTCATTTCTGAAGAATACATGTGAGGCACAATGACTGCAAGAAAACAATGTCTTGCAAAAGAAGCAACTGTGGTAGAAAGAAAAAATAGCCACAGGGAATGGGAATAAAGAGGAACAAACCAGAGAGCAGATTTGTACAGTGCAAAAAGGATGGATGGTGCATCCACAGGGGTAACATCTGCTCCTAAAGTCAGGAAACAAAGGAAAAGAGATGGAAAGGAGAGGAAGCAGGAAGAAGGAAGAGGAGGAGGCAGGAATTGCAGCCACACACACCTTGGAGGAACAATGTACTAAAATACAGTGGGAGACAGAAAGCTGCCCAGATCAGACAAGGGAGTTCTGAGTATAGACAGTGCACTGGGCAATTCAGAAACTGCGCTCAGGAGAAGTGATTTCCACCTTCTGCTTTAGCTAGTCCTCTTCTCATCTAATAAGCTAACGTGGCTTCTCAGGGTAAGAATTACACCTTGCTTACCAGCAGGTGGCAATGTGAGCAGAACACAAAGCAGAAACAGGGAACTTGCTGGTCTTTAACTGGATTGATGGCACTTGCTGATCTCTCTCTTCTCTCCATCTTCCCCTACGCCTAACAAAACCTGAAAAATGGAGACCACATCTTTGACCCAGGCTGAAGGAACTCCCAGAACACAAGATGTTCACTGCTAAAACCTGGACATCAGTGAATTCTATATCACTCTACACTCTGAGTGTCCTCATCTTTCTAAAAGTAGATACTTAGTTAGCACCGTGTGTATTATGCCATTATAATTCTTCACTGCTTTAATTTAAAAAAAATTAAAAATAAGAATTGCATGTATGTGTGTGGAGGGAGTGAGAGAAATTATAGGCAGGAGCTCAATCTCCCTGAAAAGGGACCTGGGACAAGTCCATCTTTGTGAGGGGGTCTGTCTTTAGGTAGATAAGGGAAATTCAGAGACAGCCCACAGCTGTTCCCTGGCTGTCCTAGGCTTGATTATACCAAAATGGTACAATTTGACATAGCACTCTCTGAACTCCTTAAAAATGTTTTGAAGTAGCCGGGCGCTGGTGGCTCACGCCTGTAATCCTAGCTACTCAGGAGGCTGAGATCTGAGGATCGTGGTTCAAAGCCAGCCTGGGAAGGCTTTTTGAAGAGACATTATTATTATGTATGTGTGTGTGTGAGCACACGCCCGCGTATGTGCATGCTAAGCCACTATTTGAATCTCTGAGCTACATCCCCAGACCTTGAATAGAAATTTCTCAAGATCTCAAGGGCACAAATATGATCAGAGTCAAACGAAGAGTTTATTAAATGGTCATAGAAAGATAAACCATGAACTGGGGAAAGAAATCTACAAAATAAGTAACCATCAGGGAAAGACTACTATCTCATTATATATATATATATATATATATATATATATATATATATATAATAAAACACCAAATAGTGCACCAGCACACAAGTTTAAAGTTTCATTGAAAATCAGAACACAATTAGCCAAGAAATATACAAAATGATGCTTCTGAGTATAAACTAGTCATTGTAATGATATTTTTCTACTCATCAAACTGGCCCAAATAAAAATAAGTGCTACCAGGAGTTATGAAGCAGAACAATAAGGACTCTCTCACCCCTAGAAGAACTTAATATAAATGTACAGTAAAGCAGTTTGTCATTATATACAGTTAAGTGAGTATTTTCTATGTGCTAGCAATTCTACTTCTAGGATTTACCCTGGAGATAAAGATGTCCTTGCTTTGATGCACGAGGAAAATTTTGCAAGAACATTTATAGCTGTGTCAATCATGACTGGAAGGAGAAATGATCACACAAACATTCATCACTAGGAAAATGGATAAATTTTGATCTGTTCATTTAATGAAGTACTGTATCCAGCTATATTTAACAGTTGATAAATACATTCATGAACACGAATAGATCTTCAAATACGGTGTAAAAGATAGATTACAGACTTTTTAAAAGTAACCCTACAATGCGGTTCCCTTTACGTCAAGATTCAAAACCATGTAAAATCAAAGCAATTGGTCTTAAAAAAAACTTTTGAGTGTTACTGTATAATTTGTACTTTGTAATATCTGATAGTTGCATGGTTGGTTGAGCTTCAGGGTAACAGAGAATTAAGCATTAACTATGGTGCCAGGTCAAAAGAAGAATCTGCAAAATCAAAAGCGTTTAAAATTCGACTAACAAAATTTTGGTACGTATTTCTGAAGGCAACTGGATTGTTTTCAGCTGCCTTAAATAAGCCATTGGCAAATCGTATGGTATCCTAAATTCCTAGCCTGCCTCAAGCCATCTGAGCATGAAGGACTGTCACTTGTCCACGCCACCTTGCTGGTACATTTGTCCAAGTGCTCTTCACCGACTGTATGCCTAGACCACCAAGGCTCTCCCTCCAGAGCAGTCCACTGCTGCAGGCCGAGTGACATGTCCAGGGCACAGATCTCAGGTTTGGTGTTTGGTGTTGGAGGATTTGGAGCCCTTGTTGCTGCCACCGCTTCCAATGAGTGGAAAGTCACCACCCGGGCTTCCTCGGTGATAACTGCCACTTGGGTTTACCAGGGTCTGTGGATGAACTGCGCAGGTAACGCCCTGGGCTCTTTCCATTGCCGACCGCATTTTACCATCTTCAAAGTAGAAGGTAAATAGGAGGGTTTGGTTTGGGGTGGGAGCAAACTAGGCCATGCTGAAGGGGCTGTGGCCGGTCACCTGTTAATTGCATGTGGAGGTGAAGTGTCGGGTCTTGCTTAGGATGAGAGAGATGTCTGAGCATTGGCTGGAAAGAGTAAGATCACCTATTGGACAAAGAAGAAGGAAGATGCATCTCGTGGATCTTTTAGAAATACTCAGTGTGAATAACTGGCTTGAAAGATGGGAATGACTGGGTTGTTTTAGATCGTTTCAGCGGCTTTGAGGCTCTTAAGGAGACTTGATGGCTTGTTGGTATTGGTTTTATGTTGGATGAACTTCCATTGATTTAAGTGAACTTTTCCTTTTGTGGTCTTTCTCTCTTTTTTTTTTCTCTCTCTCTTCCTTTCTCCTTCCTTCTTTCTTTTTAGTGTTTGGGCAAATGGTCATCTTTCTGCATTTGCAAAACTCTCACAAGAATGTGTGTCTGTAGAGACAATATTTCTTTTAAAGAGACCTGATCACGTCATTATTCTCCTCCATTGATACACTGAGTTGAAATCTTTTTGTACAACTACTAGAAGTATATATTTTAAAACAAAATAAAAGGACATTTTCCTGCCTGAGGCTACCTCCAGGAAAGAATCCTCATTTGCTTTCACATCATTGAAGAACTGTCTCCCCTATGCTCAGAAAAATGTGATAGGTTTTCACAAATCTGCCCTGGCTGGGAGTTAAAAATTGCTCCAGGTTTTTGGTATGATATAGTTTTCACAATCCACTGGGAAAACTGTACCTTGGCCCTGGTAAAGAAAATGGAATCACATTTTAACTAGGAAGTTACTAAAGCATCATGTTTGACAGGGTTTTGCGTTGGCTAGGCATGCCATTAGTCTACAGCAAGTGCCAAGGGATTAAGAGATAATACTTAGGTAAAGCCAATAGATTTGCAATGACAAGCAATGGCAATCCTGATGGTTACTCTCAGAAGGCCCTGGGTAACACGTACCTTTCTAAGCAACCTCTTGGTGGAATTCATGCTATGTCTGTTATTAAACCTGAGCTTTTACACTTACTTAGAGGCATTTTTAAAACTACTTCAGCCATAGGAAGTTTGCCTCAAAATGTCGAATTTGCAAAGGAAGAATGTGGATGAAGACATCATTATCTTCTATGTACTTCTTGGGGTCTTTTCTCCTCAGCCTGTTCTCAAATTGGATAGCAAATAGAAGACCTAGCATGAGAATGAGTCTGTTTCTTTGTTTTTAATGGACTCGTCGCTTTAAAAACTGTATTGTAAGCTGAGCACCAGTGTCTCATGCCAGTAACCCTAGCTACTCAGGAGGCTGAGATCTGAGGATTGCGGTTCAAAGCCAGCCCAGGCAGAAAAATCCTTGTGAGACTGTTATCTCCAATAAACTATGCAAGAAAAGCTGGAAGTGGTGCTGTGGCCCAAGTGGTAGAGCACTAGCCTTGAGCACAAAGAGGCTCAGGGACAGTGCCCAGTCCCTGAGTTCAAGCTCCAGGACCAGCCAAAAAAACCTATGAACTATATTGTTCTATATTTCTCAATAAAAGGCATGTATTAAGAAAAGTCAGTTCCTAAGTGGCCTAAAGAACCATGGTAGGTGTGATCCTTTATCCCTACTTCTCCAAATATGTCTTCAAAAACTTTAGATGTCTATTGCTAGATAAGTTAATTTCTCCTCCTCCTCTTCTTCTTCTGCTTTCTTCTTCTTCCTTCTTCTTCTTCCTTCTTCTTCTTCTTCTTCTTCTTCTTCTTCTTCTTCTTCTTCTTCTTCTTCTTCTTCTTCTTCTTCTTCTTCTTCTTCTTCTTCTTCTTCTTCTTCTTCTTCTTCTTCTTCTTCTTCTTCTTCTTCTTCTTCTTCTTCTTCTTCTTCTTCTTCTTCTTCTTCTTCTTCTTCTTCTTCTTCTTCTTCTTCTTCTTCTTCTTCTTCTTCTTCTTCTTCTTCTTCTTCTTCTTCCTCTTCTTCTTCCTCTTCTTCCTCTTCTGTCATGGGGCTTGAACTCTGGGCCTGGGCACTACCCCTCAGCTCTTCAGCTCAAGGCAAGCACTCTACCACTTGAGCCACAGCGCCATTTCCAGTTTTCTGGTGGTGCATTAGAGATAAGAGTCTCATAGACTTTTGTGCCTGGGCTGGCTTTGAACCACGATCCTCAGATCTCAGCCTCCTGAGTAGCTAGGATTACAGGCATGAGGCACTGGCACCCAGCTTAATTTCACTTCTTGAAAGTAAAAATAACATACTCTTTGTCTTCTGTATACCCTTTACAAAGATAATTTGAAAACTCCTGTCCACTGGCCATGATTCTATTAGAGCATACAAAATAGTTAACACAATTTCAACGTAAAGCAAAATCTCTATTAAAAAATGCATTTACTGTAGAAACCTATTTTCATCATCAGGAACACCGGGTCCTTTTTTGTTTTTGTTTTTGTTTTTGGTCGGTTGTGGAGCTTGAACTCAGTGCATGGGCGCTGTCCCTGAGTTTTTGTGCTCAAGGTTAGCATTCTACCACTTTGAGCCATACTGCCACCAGTGCCTGGCTATTGGCTCCTATTTCTAAAGGCAATAAGGGCCTATACATTTAGATTTTCTGATTCTACTGAAATCATTATTAATGTTGCTTTTCTATCATTCCTAGGAGACACAGTAGCAGTAGAGGAGCAGGAGAAGCTCCCAGACTCCATAATAATTACAAATTAAGGAAAAAACTCAAAAGCCTACTTAGAATACAAATAATGTTACATGATTTATAAAAAATAAACTATTTAAGCTTGCATTGTCAATTTGATTTATATGTATACCAGATGACTCCATATCTGAGAAAGGAAAATAGAAAAGCTCTTTAACCTGTTGAAGGTCCCTCCTTCCTATCCTTGGTCATAGCTTTACTGCTCGCCATTGCTTCTTGTGTCTTGGATACCCCAGAATTACCAGCTTTTTAGAGAACATTTTGGATTAATGGTAACTATATCCTTTACAGATTTGATGTAAACCAGGCACTGGTAGCTCATGCCTGTAATCCTAGCTACTCAGGAAGCTGAGATCTGAGAATCACAGTTTAAAGCCAGCCTGGGCAGGAAAATCTATGAGATTCTTATCTCCAATAAACCACCAGAAAACCAGAAGTGGTGCTGTGGCTTAAGTTGTAGAGTGCTAGCCTTGAGCACAAAAACTCAGGGATAGAGCCCAGGCCCTAAGTTCAAGCCCTATGACCAACAACAACAAAAAAGATTTGATGTAAAGATATACAATGCTAACTATTTGGTAGCTGTCTCAATGTTAAATATTTGTAGTTATTGTGATAAATATGGGCTGCTTTTCACTGCAGTTCTGAGGGTGGGATCCAGGAGGCATTGCTACAGGGAGTAATTAGTTACCTTAGACAGGGATTTAATCATTCTATACACGTGTCTTGTGCTCCTAGGGCATTATACATATACATATACTTATATGTGTATATGTATATATGCACACACACATATATTTGATATTATATTTGAATATTTAGGTTATATATTTGAAATATATATTTGAAAAATAAGTTGATGAAATGAATAACAGGTTAGACTGAAGATCATTTGCAATGAGGACAAAACTGAATTCTAGGCAGCAGCTTGCGGCCTGCTGACTTGAGGGATGGGGTATTAAAAGGAAGAGCACTGAACTGCAGCTCAGCAGATGTCAAATTTTGCCTTCTTTGTGCAGTAGCTGGGAGACTGACTTCAGCAATTACTCTCTGAGCCTCTTCCACAGATTTTTCTCCTCCATAAATTGAGAAAACTGTACTGTAATATAGTCTTTTAAGGTGTCTCTCAACCCAAGTGAAATTCAAGAGCTCTAACACTTGGCATTAAGCGTTTACCAAAGAATCAAAGCTGTAAAAGGCCCCTCTGTTAGAACCTCTCCCCTCATTTGTCTATGAGCTTGTCTGTTTTCCTTTGTTCTGAATATTTAGAATCATATCTGATTCTGGGGTGAGCTAGGCTTAAGTAACCTCAAATGACCCCACATTCCAAGTGAAGGTGCTAGAATTTCACTGGGATGGAGCAGAATGCTGGTATGGAAGCCACAGGTAAACAGTACTGACCACTCCCCCAACCATGACTTCAGAAAGAGGCTACAAGGACACTGCATGCCACAGAAAGGAAGTTTTCTGTGGGTTTTTCTTTATTCATTTCGAGGGAATTCCTGAAGGCATCAGCTATCCAAATTTTGGATTTTTTCCTAATTGAAATATGTGCCTGTATTTGTCTGTTTGGATTACCATGCCAAAATATATCCAAACCAGAAAGCTTATAAGCAATCAAAACTTCTACTGCAAAGGGAAAAGCCCTAGGGAGGTACTTAGGGAACTTGAAAAACGTTGAGTATATTTCCTAGTGGGATTTATTAAACCACATTGAGTTAGAGCTTCACCTCTTCTTGAATTTTTTGGGGGGCTGGGGCTCAGATCAACAGCAAGCTGCATCCCCTAGAATTGTCTAGAAATGCAGGAGCTCAGACCTCTCACCACAAACCTTTCAATCTACATTTTTGTAAGATCTCCAGGAGTTTCCTCCACATATGAAAAGTTTTGGAAACCTGCTTACAACCTGGGTTTGAGTCTACTGAACTCGGGATTTATGGAGGATCTTAATTCCCTGGGTTTACTGTTCTTGTTCAATGGTGTTTATATCAGGTATAAAATGTGCCATCTACAATGCCTGACAAAGAAGGCTCTCTATTAAGGGTAGTAATGATTACGGTGAATATCTCTTTCCATGCCTTCAAAGTTCACATCTGAACTGCATTACTTCTATCCCATCCATTTTTTTCCATCCAGTACTTCAGTAGCTGCTTTTTGGACTCTAAAGCCTAATGGCACTGTACTATATGTCTTATGTCATAACAATACAAGGATATTACTCTTGTCAGAGTATACTCTATGTTTGGAATTTGCTCTACCTCATAAAGCAAAACTACCCAGCATTTAGCAATGAGGTTC